TCTTTTTGATAGTTTTGTGCCTCTTTTTGGTCGTTTCAAGTCCCTTTTTCTTTGTCAACATAATAAATGAACTGCAGAACACGACAGAAACATTGTCGCACCCTGATCTGAAAACGCATTACAGAATCCTGCTGCCTAAATTTGCATAATAATGAGGAAGGTGGTGGGAAACACAGACAAGAGATTGTTTAACACATGTTCTTATATTCACGGCATGAGAGTTAATTCTCATTTTGTACATCAGACGACTTTGACTTCAGCTCCTCCTGACAGAAAGATAACCGAAGTAGTTGTGTGTGTATGTGTGTGTGTTTAAAGAGTTAAAAAAAAGTGTGTGTGAGCCAGCTCCTGTATGTGTAACCGGTTGGAACGCTGCCAGTTCCTCCTCCAGAGCAAAAGACTCTGGAATGTGTTTAAGGAGCGCCACTGAGATTTCTCTAATCACTTTTATTGCTTGGCTCTGATGGTCCTGATCAACCAGGTTCACCAGGTCCTTGTTCGACACCATCTACTCTGTCAACCTACCCGCCTGTTGTGGGATTCCTGGCTATAAATAACGTGGGTTTTGTGAGGCGTCACACATAACTCCCCCCCCCCCGACACACTTTTTCCCCCTTTCACAAATGATATCCCATCATTCTGCCAACGCTGTAGTCCCTCATGTCTTCCTCTTAAACACACACACACACACATGCAGGGATTGTGAGCTGCTGACAGTTTCCACCTGACCGATTGAACGTGCAGAGCGACGCTGCAGAGCGATCACAGAGAGTCATGTCACACAGGATAAACAGAAAAGAGCCACTCAGGATATAAACTGATCAGCTTGATGAATATTGTGAACGTTGTTATCAAGATGCACATGCAAAGAATATATTACATTTAGCAATTATTATTGTTTAGTGTTTTTTAAATGTTATTAATTAATTAATCAAAAAGTAACATTTACTTAAAGCTACAAGGAACTTTCATTTTGTGGTGGTTTTAGCTGTCACTGTAGACTAAATTGGTAGTGTTTCCGAGCACGAGAGTCCCTTTTGAAAAACCTCTCATTTTACTGCAGCAGGGTCTGATAGTCTGCCCCTTTAAGTCCTGGTCCTGGTTCTCCCGTGCCTCCCTCCCTGCTGCTCCTGGAGGAGGAGGAGGAGACGCTGCCGGGAGCTGAGCTCTCCTCCTCCCTCCGGAGCTCCGACTGCAGGTCCAAGGTCTGCAGCTGAAGGCAGATCTGGGTCTGTCCATAGTGGACCGGTCTCTGCTGGAGGATCTGGGTCTGTCTACGGTGGACCGGTCTCTGCTGGAGTCTGAGCTGAAGGAGTTTCTGGTGAACCTGCATGATTTCATCTAGTTTCACCAGAATCCGACCCGGTGGCTCTGATGACGAGTTCCTCACAGTAACTTAAAGTAAAAGTAGCTCACACTTTAAAAGATACTCTGTTACCAGCAAAAGTCCTGCATTCAAAGTTGTTCACAAGTAAAAGTACAAAAACACAAGTGACAAAAAAGTACTGCAAGTACCAAAAGTATACTTTATACTTTAATATACTTTATTATCTAATCAGTGACTATGTTTAGATGCACAAATATTCTTTTTACCTTATTCTAAAAAAAAAAACTAAATTCCTACTAAGCTGTTTACAATGAAAATGGATATTCCACTAATATTCACGTTTACATGCAGCCGGGAACCGGAAATGCAATACTGCTCACTCCTTTTCCGGGTTTTAGGACTCATTCCTGCAGCACTCTCCTGGTCTTAAAAACAAGCCTAAAACAAACAGGGTCTGGATCACCAGCTGCCATTTTGCTCTTCTTCTCTGTCACTTTGTGTTTGTGTTACAACGTCAGCATTTAAGTGTCTCTGTTCTTTGTTTGTGTGTCTCAGTCCTGGGTTTCTGCGTGGCATCCCTCCGGCGAGGCCTCATCAGGGCGTCTGGCGCGCGCCCGGCGGCAGCTGCACTTCCGGAACGAGTGGGCGGCGTGGAGCGGCTGGTCCGTCTGCTCGCGCAGCTGTGGGAGCGGCGCCTCGGTGAGGACGCGCACCTGCATCACCAGGTAAACGCCCGCCGCCTCCTGCAGGGTCACACAGAAGAGGATGCGATGCTTTTCAAACACATTCCCAATTATCAGAAATAAATTGTGTAATAAGTGCAAGTTAAAGCATTAATGCCTTGTCTGTTGCCACTGGTGGAATGTAACTAAGTACATTTACTCAAGAGCAATACTACAACTTTGAGGTACTTTAATTAAGTATTTCTATTTGATGCTACTTTATACTTCTACTCCACTACATATCATAGGGAATATTCTATAAATCAACTAATGAATGCTGATGTATTATTTTAGGTTAAGCTACACAGTATATGAAGTAATTAAAATGAGCTCCATCTTTACCAGCATGTACAGCAATATATACGTATCTGCATGAGGAGTACTTTTACTTTTTGTAAGTATATTTTGATGCTGAGCTTTTGTACTTTTTATTTAGAGTTTGAATCCAGGACCGTCCGTCTGTTTCTCAATTGCAGAAAAACCTGAAATGCATTTAAAGTAATAAATAAAAAATGATAACATATATAATAATATAATAATGTTTTGGGGGTAGTTTGTACAGTTGAAAAATATTGCATGTGCATTTCAAATTTATCAGAAATTTGCCAATGAAACATTTAGTGTCATCAGTGACTTCCAGCGCAGAAAGACTTTTTTAAAGCGTGTGCATTTGAACCAGTTATCACTCCCATGAACCCAGAAGTTGTTTCCTCATCACAGCAGTTTACAGTAAATCAGAACTATTGAGATATTAAACTACATTTACATGTATTCATTTTTAAATGATGAGACCTAAATAACATAATAAAATCTTTATGCACTTTGTGCATGAGAGAAGGTTTTGTTCAACCTGCACAGACATAGTTTCCACTGTAAACTCCTTCCTGCTGTGTTTTCTTCTGTGTCCCAGGAACCCAGTGGGAGGACCGTGTACAGGAGATCCCAGACAATACAAGATCTGCAACACCAAGGTCATTTCACACTGTATGAAAAAACACGACTTTCGATGCAAACAGTTTACAACAATGGCGGATGTTTGCTCTGGAAGGTGTGTGTTTCTGGGTGTGATCTGGAATTTCACTGACATATTAACTCACGTCTTCACTGCACTGCTTCGCACTGCACTCTGGGATTTATCTGAGTCGTGCTGCAGTCGGGTATCAGACTGGGTTGGGTGTGTTTGGACAGCCAGTCACTGTGGCCCATAAGGAAAAACACACAGGTGGGCTGCAGCGTGTTTAAGCACGCTCGTGTGTGCGTGCGGGGAGTTTGTACGGTGTGATGAGCTCAGAGCTTCCGATGAATGGACGCAAAGCCACAACTTCTCTCTCTGCTGCAGTTTGTGGAATGAACATGAGGTTTTGTGAGGATGAAATGAGATCATACTGCAGCTTCTGTGGACTCAGCACAAGTAGATTCATTTGTTTTAGGGGTAATATTTGAATTATTGTTTATTATTTAGATTTCCTTCGCTCTGAGGAGTGGAATCGATGAATCGTTTGGTCCTCAGAGTCCGAGGCGACGTCTTTAAATGTCGTGTTGGGGTATTAAGTTTGATATTATATGGAACAGGAAGAAGAGGGATACCTCCATATTTGAGAGGCTGAAAAACAGCATTCTTTGCCATTTTTGCGTGAAAAATTACTTTTACGATTGGTCGATTTTTAACCCTCTGAACCCCAAACTGTTTCAGGGTGTTTTTTCTCCATTTGCTCTATATAATATAATAAAAGTTGTGCACCTCTATGGAAACAGAACATCCATGGCTAGAAGTAGAGAGAACTCAAACATGTCTTTAGTGCACAATAACAGTTATAATGCAAGTTGAATTTCTTTGATAATTTATTTTACAGATATGAGAACAAATTTAGGCTCTACGTGCTGTATATATTGAACTATTTACATTTTTACAATCTTTCCTCTCCTCTCTGCTCTGTGTTCAGCAGCCTGCAGTTCAGTCTGCACTTTCACTGAATTGTTGTCACGTGACTGTTCATGGAGTTTATTTGGGAAATTTAGAATAAAGCTTTAATAAAATATCACAATTTTAAGCTTTGATTTGGTTGTTTTCTCTGACGCAAGCGTTTGTCACACATGATGTGTTCGAGGACAATCCGAAAGTTGAAAATCCGACAATAACGTCTGTTTTTACAGCGTCTGGCTACGGTAAACGGTGTAGTTTTGGCCATTGTTGAAAGAAAACATGCTTTTCAATTAAGTTAAGATAGTTGCTGATTATCTTTGTGTTGATCAACTAATATTCGTTTTTTAAAGAATGTATAGCCTACGAAAGAAACAGTTGACAGTTGAACATGTTGAATCGGCTGAAAAGCTGCCCGACAACGGCAGACATAGTGCCAACAATGCGGGACACACCGCTAAAACAAGCCCCGACGTTGTTATGGTTCATAAACGTTCAGGGAATGAATAGCGTTCCACTGACTCAATACAACGTCCTCACAGTGTGTGTGTGTGTGTGTGTGTGTGTGTGTGTGTGTGTGCAGGAGTGCCCCCCCAGCTCGGAGGATTTCAGAGAGATGCAGTGTGCTGCCTTCAATGACAGACCGTTGGTGGCTGGAAACTCCTTCAGATGGACCACTTTTCATGGAGGTCAGTGAAGACAACTCAGCTGATGTTTGAACAAAAACACAATAATGTATTTCCTAATCATTTAAATTCTGTGTTTTTATGTTTTTTATCGTGAGTGTGTCCCAGCCATGTGTAACTCGAGTTGCTGTGTCGTTGGCCGTCATGCGATAAACTTTTCATGGTTCCCCTGTAAAGGCCTGCTGGCTGTTGAATCCACACGGGGCTATGAGTTTTCTACGTGACATCTGTCTCCTCTCTTTTACCTCGCCTATTTTTCCTCCACAATGAACTAATGAGTCACTGAGCGAAGATCTCTCCCTGCCAGGCTCTAACCCCTGTGAACTGAGCTGCCTGGCGCTGGGTCACAACTTCTACTACAACTTTGGCCGTGTGCTCGATGGCACGGCGTGCGATAAGGAGCCCGGAGCGGTGTGTGTCAATGGACGCTGCCTGGTGAGTGGAAACAATACTGAACGTGTGTGTGTGTGTGTGTGTTGGTCTTTTCTTTTCATATTGTGTTCGTGCTTTTCATGTCTTTGGTTTTCCCATTTGATAGTTTTATATTAAGGATAATCTTTTTCTGCTAGTTTTGTATGAGGTTCCAAAAACGCTGCACCATAGTTACCAAATTCATCTAAAATTGTCCCAGCCGTTGCCATGGTGAGAGCCGTGAGGAGGCAACAGAAATGCTCAGAATTCCGTGTAGAGCGCCTTTGACTCCTTTATGTTTTCAGTGTCTCTAGTGTCCACCAGGGGGCGACTCCTCTGGTTGTATAGAAGT